TGGCTTAATACTGTATATGTCTAGCTAACCCAAAGTCCATTTGGTATTTTATCCCCAACCATGTTTTTGACAAATTTGGTAGTCTTTCCTTTATTTTGAAATGTAATTATCTACCCTCTAAGCTATAGCTTTGTCCAAATTTAATTAGCAGTGTCTCGTCGCTTGGAAGCTTGTTCACTATATAAACAATGATGCTATGTTCACAGTTTTTCACCCCACAGAACATTTTTATGGAATAACAGGGATATTACTGTCAGAAATAAATCATTATTTTTCCCCAGATGGTTTCAAAATAATATTGTGTGCTTTGCTTATTTGATGACTCAGGAAATATTCTGTCTTATGAGCAATTTATGACATACCATAGTTTCCCGATTCCTCCAAAAGAGTTTAATACGGTGGTTAAAGCAATTTCATATGGGTTAATTCACCTTGCTAATACTCTATATTTAATCCAAGGAGCACAGCTACTACACAATCTGTCTTACTCTTGGAAGGTATTGATCTGTTAGATAAAAAATGTAACAGTAGGCATGTGCGCCAAATTGTTCATTTTAAAAGGAAAATGTCTTCAAGAGGAAGGCATTCCTCTACTAGAGGTCCTTGTTTGATGATACAGACTGGAAAAGAACCTGGCTTTTACCTGGGAAATATTGTATTTCCAAGAAGGCAAAGGAAACACATTTTAAAATTTGACACAATATTTTCCTGTCAATTCTAATATTTCTTAATATTTGGACATTGACAGCTCATGTTCTCAAACAAGCAGAGAAGACATTAGCACTATCCAAGCAATTTTGGTCTGACCTAGGTTTTCATGTATTTGATTTTGCCAATGTTGTACACTCCTTTAGTTTTAAAGACATTATGTTTTATTATAATACTAAAAATAAACCCCTAGAACATACTATAATTCATCCTGCAATGTATTTTATGATTATTAAAAAGAGATACAGTTTCAAAAGTATTGCAGAAAAATGATAATGTGTGATTTGTAATTCAGAATGGCAAGAAAATAATGAATGATTTTTCCAGGCACTCCAAAATGAAAATTATTTTTTTTTATTCAGTCAGTGTATATATATTAATTACAACAGTATTTTGGATAAAACAACACTATGAAGATTCATGCAAGAGGTGACATTTAATTTTCTGTAATCAACAAATTTTGGTTATATGATTATGTAGCACATCCTTCTTTGAGAAGGCTGTTCTGGAGGTCAGAGATACCGATGTATCGCTGCCTGTGTTCTGGAGTCTGGCTTTCCTGTCTTGTAGGCCAGTATTCAATCCAGGTCTGCTCTCCAAAGATGTATTGCAGGCTAAAAACAACAGAAGAGTGAAGACAAAACATACAAAATGGCAAACTTAGCTACACATCATGTCCAGTATAAGGGTCAACATAAAATGTTTAAAAAGGAAAACGCTTTTTAAAATCATAAAATTCATAAAATCATAAAACATCATTTAAAATTCATGTTGGTTTCGTGCATTTTGAAAAACATTTAGCCTACACCATTTTTCAACAACTACAGTATTTCTCTTGCAATGAAAAAAAAAAAAAACAGGCACTGACCATCAAAATAAAAGTCCAACATATTGGCCAAAGAGAAAAAAAAGTATTGGCCAATGCCGATAATAAAAAAAAAAGCCAAATATGGGCTGATATAGTGGCCTTGGAGATATATCAGTCGAACACTACTATAATTAAAAAAAAAATATTCATCATAAAAGATGTGCATTCAAGTCCGTTTCTATTAACTGTAAGTCTTAATCTTTTAAAGTACACATGAAATCAAAATTGACTATATTTATTTTGTTAGAGCACACTGCTATTTTTATGGTGAACAATTCATCCGTGCAAGTCAATCCACAAAAAAATAAAAATAAAAAAAAATAATAATAATTGCTTGCCTTCGTAATCTTTAAAAGGGTCATATGATGCGATTTCAATTTTTCCTGTTTTATGTTTACGCGGCGCGATGCAATGCAACGCAACGCGTAAAAAGACAGTATAAGTCATTATAATCAGTAATTATGTCCCCACTGGATGCAACAAATGCCTCGTTTGTAATGGGTTTTAATGTTTTTGTCTCGTCGCTCCGGCCGGACACGGCATCAACAGTATGTGATGGGCGTAACATTTCCGTCTCACGCTTGAGGTATTCGGCCAATCACAACGCATTGGATAGCTGGCCAATCACAGCACACCTCGCCTTTTCAGACCGATGAGCTTTGTAAAAATTTACGCGTTTCAAAAAGGCGGGGCATAGAGGAGAAACAATAATGTACAGTATGTGGAAAATAATGTTTTTTTTTTTACTGAAACACATTTCATTACACCAAATACACAAAATAATGTTCTTTTTAGCAGCATCATATGACCCCTTTAATCCAAATCTAAAAGTGCACCTCCCCTCTGAAATGATGGACTTTCTCTTGGGCTTGAGCATAACATCCTTAAACACGCCCCTCCAACTGTCAGTGTTGTTCTGAATTAAACGCCTACTTTACTACATCCAATTCTCTCGGAAGTACGTCACAATACGGACGTAAAGTCGGTAGCAACTTCCGGTTCACGCGGACTTTAAATAACATAAAATAGAACTTTGCGTAAGTTGCGGCCAAAAAAATTGTCATGCCATTGAACCATGCACAATACAGACTTTGAATGCATAAATCTCAGGCAAATCCTGCTCTCTTGAAAACACAGTGGACACCTACCTTCCCCCGAGCTCTGGCAGGTCAACAGATCTGCCCATGATGAGGTACGACTTGCCTTCTACCAATCCTAAATGGTTTCTGCAACTTGGACGAGCCAAAAATGGTCTCACTTTCCCCTCAACATCCACATCGGTGCCTACAGGACAGAACAGTGTATAGGAAACAATTCTACTGCAATGCAATCTAGCCTTCTGTAGAGCACGTGTAATGTGATAATAATGAACCGTACCTTCTTTCAGCACCTGCTCCACCTTCAAGTCATAGATGTCAGAGTCCTGTTTCAGATCCGATCCAACCACTGTGACTTTATAAACTGTCAAACACATTATATTGTTATCTGCATGTCGAACTAAATGGCTCAGGTCAAACATTTTCATTGCATTTCCACAAGGGTTAAAGGAATAGGTCACCCAATGTTGTCATAATTTATTCCCTTATGTTGCAAAACAACAACCTTTATGTGCTTGCAATTATTGATGCTTAACATAGTCACTATAAAAAGAGCAGTGTATAAAACTTTTCTATTGCATCCCAACAGCAACAAACAACTGGAGCATTAATGGGATATTTCACTCAAAAAAGAAAATTAGCCCATGATTTACTCACCCTCAAGCCATCCTTGGTGTAGACTTTCTTCTTTCAGACGAAACCAATCAGAGTTGTATTAAAAATTATCCTGGCTCTTCCAAGCGTTAGTACGTAGGAGTAGTGCATGCGCTGGTGAGAATATGCTAGTCTCGCGAGAACCAACCAACATTAGTTTACAGGAGCAAAGGAAGCAAAGTTTTCTTACTTTAGCAAAGGAAAACCAGTCTCCTCTTGGTTTATATTGAAATCCTGCGACATTTTTCCTTACAAATCCTTCTTTTGTACTTCTAATTCGTGACCAGCGTTTTGTTATGTTCTCTCCTCTCTGCTTCCGCATTCGTCACTTCACACTGGCGCATGCACTACGCATTCGTCTTACGTCATCCACCCGGAACAGCTCCCGCGTACGACAGTTACAGTTAGCGCAAGCTACAGAAAAGTGGTTATGACGTTTTTAAATGATATGTTTCTTACAAGAACTCAGCCATTATAAAGCTTGTAAGAGCCAGGACAATTTTTTAATAGAACTCCGATTGGATTCGTCTGAAAGAAGAAAGTCATATACACCTAGTTTGGCTTGAGGGTGGGTAAATCATGGGGTAATTTTCATTTTTGGGTGAACTATCCCTTTAAGGTAGAACAAAATGAGTAAATAGTGAATCTTAATTTCTGGAAGTATGAGAGTCATGAACACGAATCAACACACAGAACTGAATGCGTTTACCATAATCCATGCCAGCTTCACAGGCTTTATTGAAACGCTCATCATCTTCGACACCCGTTTTCTTCTGGTAACTGCAGTTTTCTGTGTTCAGAGAAGTTAATAATGTTCATGCACACACATACACACTTGTAATCACAGACAATTTGTTTATTTTTCCTCATTCACATTTAAGAATAAAATAAACCATAACTTCTTCAAGGGTTAAATCTAGTAATATAGATGATTTCAGTTCAACCTCAGCAGTCTGTTGAGCACATTAAAGGCCAGACTGTTTACCTACTACATCTAGGACTGTTTTTGCAGGCTGCAAGACTGCAGGGGACCAAATAAAATGTATTTTATAAACAATAATTTGTGGCTGATAATACCTTCTGCACACTGGCACAGTTCTCCCTTACACAGTCTGGATATCGCACCATCTGTCCTTTCAGGGTGGAAGAACTTTGTACAGCGTGCATCTGAAACACACACACACACACACACAAAACAGACATGATTCATCAAATGCAAATACATGAATCAATCAGTTCTGGAATATAAGTTACTTTATCATCTATTCCAAAGTCACTTATGTCATGCATTTAACTTCAAGCAAACAAAACGTGCAAAGTGCACACGTTTTGATTGATATCGAATGAGAGAGTTACATGAGCCCATGGTTATTTGTAGCGCGCTTCACACACACCGCAAGTTTCAGTTTCGCGTTAACTAGTATAGTCATGCCGTTTATAATTCAAGTTGTTTATAATGAATGCCACTATAATTTATAATTTTTATATACTTGTATTTGTAATTTCTTCTCTGTTTACCGTTAAATGATTTGTTGTTTATATATTGCTATTTTACGTTATTATGAATGTAATAATATCTACTGAGAAAAGTGCCCAAACGAAGATTGATCAAAGGCATTACTGTGGCAGATGAGTAAATCATTGAATGGCCTTAGTGCAGGATAGGAAAGTCGAGAAAAAAACAGTCAGAAACTATTTTTGAGTGTGTGCGTGTGTGTGTGTGTTTGTGTGTGTGTGTGTGTGTGTGTGTGCACCAAACACTTACTGGGAGAGTAATATTCATATATTGTGACTGCAGCAGGTTGTAGCAGACCCACATTAAGGATCTTGTTCATTCTGAAGGCAATTCTTTGTGGCTCTTTACGCAAAACCTGATAAAACAGAAAACAAAGCAAATCTATGATTACATGTCATGTTGCAAACTGTCCATGTTAACATCTGAACAAGCAAAAAGTAATTAGGAAAAAAAAAAGAATAAAAAAAAATCTATAGCTGCATTTACACTGCGAAGATATTGACATAGCTGATATAAAACAAAATAAAATGTACATTTGTTACAGCCATAAGCTATATGTTACATATGCACTTTCTCTTGTGGTTATAAGACTATAATATGTTGGCCACACTGTACACAAAGGTGAACACGCAGTGACATGGAACCTTATGGCTGTACAGTAACTGGATATTAATGAGCACTTTGTCAGCCAATCAGAATCAAGAATTCAACCATATTTTATATAAATATAAATATATTATAGAAATACCGTATCTAAGTAGAGGATGAGGGATCCTCGCTCTGAGAGCACTTTGTCCATCTCAAATTTCTGAATGTATCTCTCCTTCCCTCTGGACAACTAGGGGCAAGGAAACAAGACATAAATGAATACATGATATGATCAAAATGCTTTATGACCTGCTTGTAAATGATTATTAGATTGCATGCACAATCAAGTCACATTTGTTTTTATATAGTGCTTCATACAAGACAGATTGTTTCAAAGCAGCTTCACATTAAACCAAAAAACAGGTTAAAATGTTCATGAATCACGAAACAAAATTTCAGCTGTAAAGCAGCTCTAGTGTCATGATTCAGCTCAATTCAGTACAGTGTTGTTTCAATGCAGTTCAACTGTCAAAGTTGCAAAATTCATTAAAAAAAGTTAAACTCAGATGTAAGTACCTCTACAGAACACAACACTGTCGTTATTCAGCTCAAGTCAGTTTGATGTTAATCCAATTCAGTTGAATAACAGCATCAATTTTGCAATTAGTGTCATTATCCAGCTCAATTCAGGTCAAATTCTGTTGTCATCTGATCGTGTCAGTGCAGGTACAGTAATATTACATAATAGTTATTTTCTTTCAAAGTTTGTTTGATGGACTCAACAGAACTTAAAGGTATAATTCAACCAAAAATGAAAATCACCCCATAATTTACTAACCCTCAAGCCATCCTAGGTGTATATGACTTTCTTCTTTCAGACGAATCCAATCGGAGTTATATTAAAAAATATCCTGGCTCTTCCAAGCTTTATAATGGCAGTGAATGGGTGTTATTTTTCAATAGTCCAAAAGAAGTCCAATAAAGCGCATCCATTCATCATAAAAAGTGTGCCACACGGATCCGGGGGGTGAATAAAGGCCTCCTGTAGAGAATCAATGCGTTTTTGTACGAAAAATATCCATATTTAAAACTTTATAAACCATAATCTCTAGCTTCTGCTGACCGTCGTACGCACGCTCATTCCAGCGTATGACGTAGGATGTAGGCGTAGCGTAAGGTCCAGTGAGAATATGCTAGTCTCGCGAGAATCGGATTTTTATGGATGGATTTTTTTCTTACAAAAATGCATTGATTCTCTACAGGAGGCCTTTATGTGTGTGTGGGACACTTTTTATAAAAAAAAAAACACCCATTCACTGCCATTATAAAGCTTGGAAGTGGCAGGACAATTTTTTATATAACTCCGATTGGATTCGTCCGAGTCATTTACACCTAGGATGGCTTGAGGGTGAGTAAATTATGGTGTAATTTTCATTTTTGGGTGAACTATCCCTTTAACAGGCTGACGTAATGCAAAAGAACTGCGTTAGCGATAGCTGTTTAGATTAAAACAGCTAGTGACGCCAGTGAGTATTTTTGATAGACAATGTCAGATAGGCCAAATATTTAAGGTTTGCTTCTAGGATGTTCTAGATTGATGTAATTTACTCAATGCTATACAGATGTGAGGCATCACTGCATCAGTTTATCATCACAATACCTCTTCCAGATCTCTGGTCTCCACAGTAAATCCGGTCGGTATGCCAATATCCAGAATAGTCATGGTGGCATCGGTTTTATCACTTTTGAAGCTGTGAAGATGGAGATCAAGATAAGATTTTAAAGACAGGTCTCGTAGGTTTTGTAGTTTTGCTCCATCTACTCTGTCTGTGTTTAAAGTTGTTTTCACACTAGAGCTTTTGGTGTGAACCCGAATCCATTTGACTTCAGAATTATTATATTGTAGTAATGCAGAGCTGCTCATATCTAAATAAACTGTGTTTGTAAAGCTATATATCACTAATATTCATGTTCATGATGCACACATACCACCAATGTGGGAAAAGTGAGGTGGGATCGAACTTGGGCTCTGACCAATTAATCAGTGAAAGTGAGAAAACAGCCAAAATAATCACATGCTGATAAATTACAAATAAAATAGTTCTTGGCATAACAATAAACTTATTAGAATATGTGTTCACATACTAGAAATCCATAGTGATTTTGTACGTTTCAATGACTCCTTGTTTTGCTAAAGGAAAAAAAACAAAACAAAAAAAACATGGTAATAATCAAAGCCAACAGCCAACACGTAATTAAGTGTTATGGAGGTTTTATTTTAGCTCTGAATGTATGGAAAGTGCCACAGAAAGGGCATGAACTCAATCTTACCTTCATTGTCTTTCTCCATTTTAACAGTCAGATCAAAGAAAGTACAGTCAGATTTCTTCTCAACAGGTCTGGCGTAGTACAGCGTCAGAACCTGAAAACAGCAGCACGTCACAGATTAGATGTTCAAAGGCTTTAATCTTGCTGTTGACTGTATAAACGCTCACGAACACTCACTGAGAGAGTGGCTGTTCCAGTTCCTTTAGCAGTTACATTGAACTCCTGGTTTATGTCCACCTGTTGAGTGAATGCAGATGTACTCGAGTCATCAGAAAAATCAAATGTAACAGAGATACCTGAAGATTTCACTGACCAAACGCAAGACTATTGACATTGTAGACAATTAAAAATGATGGATGACAAGCAATTAAACTACCATAATCCAAAAAACAAAAAAACAAACACAAATAACACAAACAATCTGAATCTAGTAGATGAGTTACTCCTCACCCTGTCTGACCGAGTAAGATGTGCATTCTCTCTTTTGATAGTATATCTGACAGGTTTGCTTCTTCCTGCCACGGACAGCTCCACGTCCAGATTGAAGTTTTGGCGGTCCTTCACCTGCGTGCGATACTCTGCCACGGCCTGGAACACCATGATGGTCGCCTAGAAAAGACAGAAAAGCATTAAAATCCTGTCCTGCACTGTCAGTCCTGCACTTGTTCTGCTTTTCATCACAGTCAAATGATGAGGTGTTAGTGTACCTGAGTGGTACCAGATCCTCCATAGTGAGACTGCTGTCTGTTCAGCCAGTGCACTGCTTCTCCTGCTTTATCAAAGTCTTTGTCCTTCACAAGCGCCAGCACAGCATAAGCCGTCGCCTCTAGTGAGTGATGATGCTGTCCAGAGACAGTCCAGGACCGACCGGCTGTTTCAAACACAACACAGCAATAGAAACAGGATTGTCTCAAGCAGCTGTCATTACACCACAAAACATCTGTAATTCTTCCATTATTTACACTTGGGTTGGAGTGAGTACTGTTGCAAAGTGCATCTCTTTTTGATGCCTTGTTGACTTGACTGACCTTCTAGTTGGGAGGAGCGTTTCATCAAGATGTCTTTATTGAGTTTGTTGGCATTGGCCATGGCGTAGGACGTCATCGCAACAGCGTAAGGATTGGTCAGTTGTGGAAGCCGACCTTCCAAGAAAGAAACAGCCTTCCTGATACTTTCATGCAGACTCTATAAAAGTGTGTGATAGAGGTTAAACCCAAAAGAAGGGTATAAAAAAGCAACTGTTCATAATAAATAGTTCTGGCAAACACAATGATGTAAGAGGTGTTCTTACTCCAACTGATTCAGCACAGATGTCTCTGGCCTCTTGCATGGCAATCACGACAAAGGCCGTCAGAGAGGCATCGGCATCTTTGCCACGCACGTCACCCTGGAATACAGCACAAATAAACAGAATATCACAAAAATTTGTGTTTTATTATGAAATCAGCAAAGCTTTCTAAAATATTTTTCCAGGACTATAGGACTGCAGGACTGTAAAATATAGTGAGATAGTGACAGTATAGGTATTGCAAATATATCGTGGTTCATAATTCATAAGAGAAAATATTTTTAAATCCTTTTGTGTTCTTTCACAAAACTTTTAAGGTCCCCCAAGAAACTTTGCGTTCGCTCACAAAACGTTTATGTCCCCTCATGAAACTTTTGCATTCCCCCGAGAAACTTCACGCTTGCTTGCCAAATGATTGCGATTCCCTAAGATGCTTTGCTTTTGCCCGTAAAATATTTGTTCCCCCAAAGAAACTTTGTTTGCTCCCCAAGCATTTGCATTCCTCTGAGAAACCTTGTATTTGTTTGCAAAACTTTTGTGTTCCTCCAAGAAACTTTACATTCTCTCACCAAACTTTTGCATTTCCCTGAGAAACTTTACATTCACTCAACAAACTTTTGTTCCCCTTCTAGGGAACTCCAAGCTGCGCCCCCCTAGGGGGCTCTATGGGGAATGCGGTCTGCCTGACCGGTGTCTGAAGCATGTGTGAAACCATGGCAATCTATTGGCCCACCTGGCCCATGATGTCATAGGCGGGATTCCCGGAAGTATAAAAGGACACCTGCCGAATACGTCATCCTCTTTGCTGTCTTCAGGAGCCGTCTGTTTGGAGTACAGTGTGTACAGTGTATTACCATGTCTGACAACCCAGGTGAGCATTTCAAGAAGTGCGTGCCTCTGTGTCCTAGGTTTTTGACACCCAAGGACACGCATGACTTGTGCGTTATGCGCCTGGGGGAGGAGCACGCGCGTTCGGTGCTTGAGGGCGTCGAATGTAAGCATTGTGAATCATTTCCAATATGTAAGCTCCGTTTACATTTGTCCCTTTTTTCGGGGGGAAAGGGGCAAGCGTCTGCGCCTCACGGGTCGGGTCCCGCTGCTGCTGAGGCACCAGAAACTCAGCTCGTGGGGATCGCAGGTTGAGCTCGCAGAGAAGTTTGAGGAGGGCATGGATCTTTCAAAGACTCCTACACTAAAAAAAAATGGTGCTATATAGCACTAAAAGCGGTTCTTTGGCTCGTAATCATAGGGGAACCACTTTTAGTGCTATTTAGCACCTATTTTTACAGGTGCTATATAGCACTTTGTCAAATGGTGCCATGTAGAACCATAAGAGGTTCCACATAGCACTTTTTCTCAACAATGGTGCACCAATCATAACTCATCCATGGCTCCCAGCATGCATTGCGACATGAATAAATTATGCAGCTGCATTATCTTAGTATTTTCTTTTAAGCTTACCATTTTCTTTTATTTTTGTTGTGACTTTTTACTGCCCTGTTTTGTAATGGCCTGTTCAAAAATCATATAAAAATGATCAGAATATTTTGTCACCATTGCTAAGATTCACATGCTGATTTTTCATGTCTGTGAGGAACAGAACTGAAACCTCTTTATAACCCATAATTCTAAAAGTGGTTTATACAATTTCTTTGTCAAATGGTGCCATGTAGAACCATAAGAGGTGCCATATAGCACTTTTTCTCAACAATGGTGCACCAATCATAACTCATCCATGGCTCCCAGCATGCATTGCTACATGAATAAATTATGCAGCTGCATTATCTTAGTATTTTCTTTTAATCTTACTATTTTCTTTTATTTTTGTTGTGACTTTTTACTGCCCTGTTTTGTAATGTTCAAAAATCATATAAAAATTATCAGAATATTTTGTCACCATTGCTGAGATTCACATGTTGATTCTTCATGTCTGTGAGGAACAGAACTGAAACCTCTTTATAACCCATAATTCTAAAAGTGGTTTATACAATTTCCTCACATTACAATAATACAAAACTCACCAAAGAATAAAGATTTTGATAATATGCAACCAGAGACTCAAATGCATGAAAAGATTTCACAAAAAGTTCCTTGCCATTACATATGTGCTTTATAAACACTATTGTAACAGCTAAAGAGAAACTTATTTTAGCTTAAAGTTAACATCAAGGGTCAAGAGGCAACTAAAGCAAACGCTATTCACCAAAACAAATAAAGTCTAACTGGTTAGTAATGTGTGAAGTTGGTGTTGCTGTTTGTGGAGAGGTCCTTTTTTTCTGAGGTCAAAGGTCTCATGTGGGGGCCCTGGAATATTTCATTTTGGGGGCCTTGGGGGCAAAAAAAATTATATCTTCAAGAAATAGACAGTATTTTAATGTTGTTTTAATCCTTTCCCCAACTAAACTAAGAGACTAAGAGAGAGTTAAAGAACCTTTAAAGAACTATACAGGGGCTTACAGGTTTTATGGTAGTGGTGCTATATAGCACCTCATCAACTCCAAAGAACCGCTGAAGAACCTTTTTTTTTTTAGAGTGTACCGCGGGCTCTAGCGCGCTACGGAATCAAGACGCTCTGTCGTCGGAGTTATCTGATCCTGCGCTGCTGGGCTCTTCTAGTCATAGTGACGGTAATAAAGAAGTTGATGTGGTTGGTGACGATGATGAGAGTGTGAGCACCGAGTCGTCATCAGCCATTCCCAGCCGCGCATACGGGATATGCTGGATGTGATGGATCGTGCCTCTGAGCAGCTCGATCTAGCGTGAACACGTCAGAAGTCTTGATCGTCCAGCCCCCGGGAGTCTTCCGTTTCTCCCAGATCTCCACCTGGAGATATCTAAATCCTGGGTGAAATCGTATTCCTTTCGGCTGCATGTCTTTCAGCACGCAGATTATGTGAATGTTGAGTGTGTGGCTGAGCGCAGATACACGAGGATGCCCCCTGTTGAGCAGACGTTTGCGAGCTATCTCTCACAGGGTGAGTCATCCTCTTTGAAAGCTCCCGTCTTGCCATCTGTAGCGCTTCAGACCACCTCGCGCTTGAATGGTATTGCGTATGTGGCAGCAGGTCAGGCTGGTGGTGCTCTGCACACCATGGCAGTGTTACAGGCCTATCAGGCTGATCTGTTGAGGGATTTGTATGAGGACAAAGGCTTATCGCCGGAGGCAGTCAAAGATGGACTTGGCTCTCCGCGCCACTAAGCAAACTGCTGCTGCCGTTGGGTGTTCAATGCTGGCGATGGTGGCTACGGAGAGACATTTGTGGGATAACCTTGTGGCCATCGGGAAGAAAGATAAATAATTTCTTCTTGATGCTCTGCTTTCTCCGACTGGACTTTTTGGCACTTCCATCGAGGCGGTTGTAGGGAGGTGAAGGCACGATCGTCTGCTTTCAGGAAATTAATTCACTGGCACTCCAAATCCTTTTTTAAGGGGGATGATTGATCTAGGGCTGAGGCTCACAGACAAGATCAGAAATCTGGCATTGCTAGCCGCGCCCCTCCTCCCTTGGAGTTGGCGAGGAAAGCCTACCGCTGACAGGGGAAGAAGAGGTGCGGTCATCCTCCGCGTCCTGACGCTGGCGCGTCTTCATTCCCCGGTGCTCCAAATCCTTTTTGAAGGGGGATGATTGGTCTAGGGCTGAGGCTCATAGACAAGATCAGAAATCTAGCATCGCTAACCGCGCCCCTCCTCCCTCTAGGAGTTGGCGAGGAAAGCCTACCGCTGACAGGGGAAGAAGTGATCTCGGGAACGTGCTGAATAAGAGGCGCGGTTATCCTCTGTGTCCCGACGCCCGGCGCGTCCTGATCATCTTTCTCCCTCGACCTCCTCTCCCCCCCCACCGCCTTGTGTTATTGACCACTGCTTGCATCAGGCTCTGACTTCGGACTAATGATGTTTATATATATTCGCTGTGAAGTGAATTTTTTTTTACTGATGGTCTGAAATCTGCCTCTTGTGAGTTTCTGGTCAATGACACAATGGCGGCTAGCCTAAAGTGGACTGACCTGGTTAAGGGGATCTTTGTATCATGGCCATCTGAGGATGGTCATATCCCAGCCCTGTTGTGGCAGGGTAGGTTTACTGTAGATACAGCCATCTGAGGCTGGCTGTATTTTTATCTGCAATTAACCCTTTCCGCACTATATCTATCTGTGGATGGCTGTTTGGTAGCGGTGATGTTGCCACTTTTTGGATTTAACTATACAGCCAGGGCTGGTGGTATTGCAGTGGTCCCCTTTCCTAGAAAGATAGCTTTCTGAGGATAAGCTGTCTGCAAGCTCGGCCCTACTCTAGTTGAGTGGTGGTTTCTTTAAGAGCCTGTGCCCGGACAGTGCTGTCTCCACTCTTGGGGTTAAGTAGACAAGCCCATTTCTATGGTCTGGTAGTTCGGTCAGTCCTGCTTCTGGTAGCTCCTTCCTGTGTGACATAGCTATCTGAGGATATCTATGTGTTAGCTCAGTGACCGCTCCCGCTTCGAGGGTCTTTAAATAGTGGTTTCCTGAGCCATTGCCTATACAATGCTATCTCCCCTGTTAAGGAAGCAAGTAGATAGTCCACTCTTTGTGGTTTGGGCAGCTCTACAGGAGGGCTATCTAGGCTAGCCATGTTTTTTAGTTTGGTAGCCTTTCCCAATTACGTAGTTATCTGAGGATATCTATGTGCTAGCTCAGTGAATGCTCCCCTTCTTAGGGTTTTTAAGTAGCGGTCTCCTTGAGTCCTTGCCTAGACAGTGCTATCTCCCCTGTTAGGGTAGTAAGTAGATAGCCCACTCTCTGTGGTCTGAGCAGGTCTGTGGGAAAACTACCTAGTGCTGTTGGGAACTGACACGGGTTTGGGACACCCTTGGTATAGCCACCTGAGGGTGGTTATATTCCAGTCTTTGCGGGGGCAGGACGGGGCTTATTCAACTACAGCTACCTGAAGCTAGCTGTGTTTTAATGCAGTTGCACTGAGCCCTCTCCTGGGGTGGTTCCCTTTTTCCTGGATTCCAGCTATCTAAGGATAGCTGTGTGCTAGCTCAATGGTTGCTCCCCTGTTCAGGGTTTTAAGTAGCGGTCTTTGAGCCATTACCTAGACAGTGTTGTTGGGTCATAAGTAAACAGCCTACTCTTGTGGTCTGGGTAGTTTTTCAGTTGGTTCCCTTCTTACACCTTCCTAAGTACATTTTTATATGGGGCGGTGACTGCTCCCATTTTTAGGGTCTTTAACTAGCGGTCTCTTTGAGCCCTTGCCTAGACAGTGCTAGCTCCCCTGCTAGGGTAGTAAGTAGATAGCCCACTCTTTGTGGTCTGGGCAGCTCTGTAGGAAGGCTGTATAGGCTCTGACGCAGATGGGGGACCTCCTTGGTATAGCCATCTGAGGGTGGTTATATTCCAGCCATTGGTATGGCGGGATGGGCTTACCTGAATACAGCTATCTGAGGCTAGCTGTGCCCCACTACGGCTATGCGCCTATGGAGTGGCCCTTTTTCCTAGAGCCTATCTATCTTAGTTTCAGTCCAGTAGCCCTTCCTGGGCACGTAGGAAGGCCTTCGGCCTGCCTGTCAACATCTCCTTCAGACAGCTAAGTGGATGATGTACTTGGCAGGTGCCCTTTTATACTTCCAGGAATCCCACCTATGACGTCATGGGCCAGGTGGGCCAATAGATTGGCATGGTTTCATAGTTCTACTGCTAGCTTCCATTCCTGTTCTCCTGTACTCCAGATGAGTTTAAATACAGTCATAGTCACATTCGACTTACCACCATCTCTCCATGAATTACAGCTGATTCCTCTTTAAAGGAGCCGTCTGGCAGTTGTTTGTGCAGAACCAGCCACTTGAGGGCGCTGCAGATCACATTTTCCTCTATAATAACAAGGTTGTTGGCCATGGCGAGGACCTTAGCCACATATGCTGTCAGCCTTTAACAGACAGAAACAATTGCAAATGAGTTACAAATAATAATTTGCTACCAATAATCGTAATAATAATAATAAATTATCACAGGGAATAACTGGGAATGAAAATATAACAAATAACATTGACTGAAATTAAAATACCATGTGCTGCTCGGCCTGTGTATCCATGCAGCATATGATCCATCTGGTTTACGGTAGCCCAGCTGTTGTTGATAACCTTTATACAAAAAATAAATAATTTATTTGCTTATTATCTGTTTTTGATCTAAAGTTTTCAAGAGAGCATCTTTGAGAGTAGGCTACTTTGATTTTATTCCAAATCACCTGTGCTAATATGGTTGATGGCGTCATTACGGCGCTCCATGCCAACAGCCGCCCACTGATTGGTGCTGTCCAGATAATGAGTGGCAATGAGAGGTAGAGTCATATAGATCATGTTCTGCTCTCCACATCCACTGGGCTGGACAATAAGGCGACCCATGAAATCTCCACTGATGGCCTGCTCGACTGTCTGAGCGATCTCTTCACCTGGAGAGGTAAAGAGTGAACGCAGGCTGAGTATTCAGCTTGAGCTGGTTTGACTCGACACTAGAGCGTGGGAATAGAGATAGTCACTGGTCATCCTGAAGAGACATCAGACATCGTGTCCTAACCACGACACACAATAAAACTTATCTTTTCCATGTTAATCAGAATTTTGTCCTTATCAGTTGCTACAGCGATACGTGAGGAACGAGGTATGCTACCTTAATGAATCGCCATTTTAAATGGATTTAAAAAAAAGACGGACGAAATCATATTTTGAGATTGATGCATATGAATCAGCATGATTTGCAGAGGCGGACAAAGTACTCAACTCCATAACTTGAGTGAAAGTACAGATACTGCTGGTCAAATATTACTCCATTACAAGTAAAAGTTGTAAAGACAGATTTTTACTTAAGTACAAGTACAGAAGTACTTGCTTTTAAAAGACTCAAAAAGTGTACTTAAGTACAATACTCAAGTAAATGTACTTAGTTACTGTCCGCCTCTGATGATTTGTAATCGACGCGAGAAATCTAGGGAACCGTTGCTTCATATTTATTTAACTTTTTAATCAGAGGTTGTGTTAACAAAGTACTCAGAGTCAAAGATTCATTAACATCATTTAAAACATTTATTTGGCCATGCAAAACCATGTGAATTAAGCCCAAACTCAAACAGATGAGGCACATGCAGTTGTAAAAAGAAATGCAATTTTAAAAGAAACAGTGATTACAGTTATTAGAATCCAGCCCCAGTGTGAAGTACGAATGCAACAAATTTGTCGTGGACATGGAAAAATAGACATTAGGATTGTAGATATAGACTTTACCTCTTCTTAAACAAAACAACTAAATCACTCATTCATTGAAAACTTATTTTTCCTTACCAGCAATTGAGATGTACGTGTTAGCAGGTGTGTCTGGAACCCGATCATCTGGTATGTCACCTTTAAGAAGTACAGGTTTTTCCCCTGTTCGAGAAATAGAAAAGAACAGCAAAATGGAGAAAGAGTCATGAGTCGCATTTTGTACGCTTTTGGTGAGTACTGAGCAAGAAAAGAGCAGGAATTAATTGTAATGATATTCATAAATGCTTTTGTCTTGACTGGCTGAAAGTAAAATCACATTAATTCTCTGGTTTTTGTGATTGGATGCAAGTATCTGTGGTTCACAGTAAATCTCACCATTCTTAACTGGATTGAGCTCCACATTTTTTCTTTGTAATGAAATCAGCACACCCTCAGACTGAAAGAGAGAGAGAGAGAGTTAACTACCTGAGATGCTCAAGTTTATCTATTGAAAATATGACAAACATCTATCAATGATACAAATGACCAAATAAAATAAAAAGTGTCAGAATTTCCCATCAGACGTACCACCACCTTCAGCGGCTTTCTCACTCCATCAGTGTAGATGGCCTCATATGCTGAAGCTTTCACCTCAATCATGTGATTTCCCAGCGTCATGGGAATAATCACATATGAAACAGCTATGCTGGAGCCTTTGTCAACAGATACTGTTGTTCTGTATTTGCCTTTCTTACTGGCAAAGCTGCAAACATCTTCTGTCTCCATGAACTCCACACGCACCTGGATACAACAGGAGAATGAGACTCAAATCACTTAAATATCTAGAGGAAACGTCACCAAAAATAAATCCAACATGAAATGTGTGATGATGGGATATATTTCTGTTTTAGCACAGGACAGTATGCTACACGTTTCTTCAGTTTGAGTCACGAGCAGTTCAAAAACCTAAAATGAGTCTCCGGATCCATGCATGCTGTCATTAGTAAATAATTTGACTCCAGCAGAAATGTTTACTACAATCCACATGACTATAATATGCATAACAACTAAATTCATTTTTAATATTAAATCGAATCTACCTTCTGCTTCTTTGGGGTGTAGTTGTGAATAATGGCCTTGATTTCCAGTTGTTCGCCGCGCACAGCTGAGTAAGGCATCTTTAGGTCAATAAAAAGGTGTTTAAAAACGACCATCTCCACAGGTTCTGCCACACAGATGCCTTTGAGGAGGAACACAGACACACAGAAGGATTTAAAGCAGCAGCTCCTGGATGATGATGATGATGATGATGTTTTTCAGATCATGTATTCTGGGTTTTCAGCTTCTCCTTACCAAGTGTTGGGATGATGATGATGATGATGATGTTTTTCAGATCATGTATTCTGGGTTTGCAGCTTCTCCTTACCAAGTGTTGGTGACAGACTGACAGCCAAGATCTGCCAGGTAGTGATAGAGTCTTTCAGGTAGATCACTTTTTCTGTGGCTGTTGTTGGACTGGAATATGAGATATATATGAGAAATTACAAATATGGAATATGAGAAAATACCAGTAAAACAGAAAGTGTTGAAGTACAGTTCTAACGCTTGTTTAGCATCTAAATTCATATCAGGCTAATAAAGCATCATAAACTGGGCGGCCTGGAGGCATTATGTCTTACAAGGGACAAGATTCAGATGTTTTCTAAATATAAGCACATTAAATACTGTTGCATAGCACTACTGCTTTCTTATTAACATCTATGAATGGCATTAATGGATGTCATTTCATGTTGTTGAGCTAAAAATAAACATTCAAGAGTGAGCCAGTACATAAAATGCATAATATCAAAGATAATTGAGAAACGATGCTTGCTCTTTGTCGGAGGAAGTCATCAACTCAAGTCAACTGAGATCATGATGTTTATTCACTGCCAGTGACTTGTCTAAGACTTGTCTGAATGTCTCCTACTCACCATTTGTCACATAGATCAATCTCCTCCCAAAGCCAACTCTCAGGGAACTGCGTACGGGACGTAATCTCTTCAGAGTCTGTGTAATAGTCATCGTCATCATCACCTGTTGTGACAGATAAAAAAAAACAAAAAACAGATCAGATAATCTAATCATATACATTTTATTCTCTCTGATGACTATCCACTTTCACTATGATCCTACTTTCCAAAGTACCCAAGCCTCAAAATATCAGTGTCAATCACTGCCACCGGATCCTTGTCGCTTCAACATCATGCAAGTTTGAGTGAGAATGGGATGCTGCATTTTCAATTTATTTCATGCATTGATAGCTCTCGACAGCACAGCACAAGCTAGCGGAGCAATCAGTTCATATACGTACTGCGAGCCAGAACCATTTCCTCCTCTTCGTCCTTCGTGTTCTTGCGGGATTTCATCTGGTTGCAGCAGTCCAGGAAGGCCTTGACACACGCTTGTCCGTCAACGATGTATGTGGCTCTTCGTTCACAGGTGTAGCCGAGTTTATTATCCCTCATCCCATCAACGCAGCACTGCTTCAGTTCACCGGAGTATTTACCAGCTGAGAAGACAATGTTAGTGTAGAACAATGAGGGGAGTAGGAGAACTACAGGGATCCCCAAAACATAAAAATGTGTTTGAGAACTCAAGTGACCTAAACGAGAAGGGCTTTGGGTCTTTAACACAGTAAAGGTTCTGGTATACTTCAAACAAAATCAAGGACAAACTGATGTTTGTTCGTTTGAAACAGCTTGCCAAAACAAACTTTACAGAAACTTTCACCTTCAAACTACCATTAGCGATTATAGGTAGGTGTGGTTCTGTGGCTCCGCCTTCTTTGGCGTGAAAATCTTCTCCGGATCATTTTGTCTCTTCAGTCCATTGAGGTCAGACAGAAGTAAAAATACTAATCTAAAGTTACACACTGTTTAAGACTGTAAAGCTGCTTGAGTTAAAAGCAAAGTGCTATATGTATAATCGTAACATGACTTAAGTGCTGAATTGCAGAGCTGGTGCAAACATGCACATATCTATAATCACATGCTTTCTTAACTGTTTTCTGACAAGTAATTTTTGTTGGGTTATTTTGTTCTTGAGAAAAAAGCACGCAGCACATATTTACATATTCATCTAAACATTTTCACTCCTAAGCAAAGAACAAAAAAGTGAGTATATCAGGGACTTAAAAAAGTAAAATGTAGCTTCTCACCCAGTGTACTAGTGATCTGCAGGAGACTCTCAGCTCTTCGTTTTCTCTTTGAAGTTTTAGGACACTCAGACACTAGAGGACAATTCATTTGAATAAGTTAGTTTATTGCAAAAAATATATATAATAATAATAATAAATACTCGTGAGATCTTAAAGAATTCAATAGCAATAAGATCCATTTAGTAATCTTTATCAATTATTTTGCGAAACCAAACAACAGGAAAGTCACGGTACGACATTCAAGATATGCCCAAAGACAATAGAAACAACAGGACAAAATACACGTGAACAAAAAACTTACTAGAGTAAGATAACTCAGATTTAGAGCCAAAGTTATACAGTTAATGGGATTATAAATGCCTTACTTGAAGGACAATAACCCTTGGGAATATTATTGTCCAGTAAATAAAACTGTAGAATAAGAAATTAAAAAAATAAAATCATAATAAATACTTATTCTGGTGTTGGTTCCTCCTGCACCGTTGGACTCAAACATCAGACCTGCATCAGTGAAAACCCCCATACTGTCCCTCCCACCTCCTGCTGTACAGCCGGTGTCATGCTTCTCTATGACGTCCCAGATCTATAGGTGCAAAATAGACACCAGTTACGTTGTTTTAGGCCAAAAAAGTCGAGTTGCAATGTGAAGTCTGAAGAAGATCCTTCACCTGAGTCTGAGTGAGTCTGTTCTTGTTAAGGACTTGCACAGCCTTGTCAACCACCACCAGACCAACTTTAGCTCCATGATCTCCAGTTATCTGCAGCTTGACCTCATCTCCTGTGCCATAGATATTCATCTTCTCCTTCACCTCAATCTGGAGCTGTTATTAAAACAAGAGATGGTGTGTCAGAAAAACAGACCTAGTTGGCACATCAGCTGCATCTTGTGATGGTTGACCCACCTTTCCCATGCACGTGTCCTTCACATCCACCCAGACTGAATCAGACACCACCTCAGACGGGCCCACATGGTAATAAGCCACAAAGCGGAAGGATGGCACCATGTCTTTGGTTACAGTCACAGGCAGAGTCACTAGAGATTGTCCTTGCCTCTTGAACCTGTCTGCTTGAACGATCTGACCTTTACTTAAGATCTGAAAAGCAAGCAGATAATTAAAAATAAACTTAAGCATCTTTATATGGTTTCAAACAAGCTGTGGTAGAACTCATATTGATGTAATTAACTGATACATTTGTGATGCAGATAAATAATAAATAACCATAATCTTTACCATGTATGTGTAGTCTTGATCTTTGACTCCTGGACTTTGTCCAGTGTTCAGATTGACTTTCATTGGATCACCGATCTGAAGCTCAACAGCATCAATGCCGATGTGAAGGTAGTTGTTGGAGCCACCTTTGGTCTCATAGGCCTGAGCCGTCATCTTCTTCACTGCCTGCTGATTTTCGTCTTTTATATCTGGATCTTTGGTCTTTGCCTGAAAAAAAAAAATGTATTCATGCTGATTCACACAGACAACAAATAAACATAATCAAACAGCTTGTTCCACATCTTGGCAGGTCTTACAGTGATGTCCAGTGTGGGAGATCCTCCCGGAGTGTTGACTGTAACCTTCGCAATGCCGTTGTCTCTTGTTTGACCTCTGACCCCTCCAGGATTGACCTCCACTCCCACATTTACAGCAGGCGTCTGGTCAGGATTTGTTACGTATACCTTTTATAAAACCCAGGACAAAAACAAAAAGCAAAATAAGTGATCTCTGTTTATATGTCGATTGAATTGTTGCTCAGTTCCTATAAGCCTTCAGCTTCTCAACTATCTAGTCAATGTTTTATACCGAGACGTCGAAGGGCATCCCAGGTTTGAAGAAGTGTGGTGTTTTTTTGAAGTGGATGGTGTACGGTGACGTCACAATCTGAATGCCTCTCCTTTCTGCTTCCACCATTTCACTGCCTGAAACACACAAACGATTAGCTTCTCATACAATCACACACGTGCAGGTAAACATGTTCACACAGTATCTGTTGAATCTTACCACTTTCTGTTAATAGACTGACTGAAACATAGATTGATCGTCCAACCAGCTGGTTAATGTTTGGAAAGGTGTCAGTGATCATCTGATTGGTCAGTTCTGCAGTACCCTTTCCTGTCACGATCTATTCACATATGAGAAACACAGCAACATCAGTCTACAAGATACAGTGAAAAGCTCTTTAACCACTTAAATTGTCCTTCAGGTGAGGAGAAATGATATTGATCCAAAATTGTAAGATGTTTAATGTCTCTCACCTGAACTTTTTGCAGAGATGCAGGAATACTTGTTTTCTTCTCATCTTCCATCACACCAAACACCACAAACGCATTTCCATCCACCTTCTGTCCAAACAGGTATCTATAAAAGCACATTCAATCTCTGCTGTAAAACTGAATGGTGAATATTTCTAACAGAACTTGATACAATTGACTTCAGTTGGTGTAACCTAATGATGTCTGGTTGATTCAGCTATTTTAAATGATTCTGTATATCTGACTTGAATAAAATCAGTTAATTTCAATGTTACCACATGAAGCACATTCAGTTTACCTGACACAAGTTAACATAGTTAATGTAGTCTGGATAATATATTACTATATACATTGATCAAAAAAGTAAGGGAACACTTAATAATCACAGTATAACTCCAAGTCGATTAAACTCCAGAGATATCAATCTGTCCAGTTAGGAAGAATAAGTGATTGTGAATCAGTTCCACCTGCTTTGGTGCAAATGTATGTGACAACAGGTGCACTGGTGAGACAACAGCAAGACAACCCCTAAAACGGAATGGTTTTGCTGGTAATGACCAAAGACAATTGCTCTCTCCTTACCCTTCCTGACTGATTTGTCTCTAGTTTTTTGTTTTGTTAGGGTCCGTCTCACTATTTGTAGCATGAGGCAGTACTGCAACCCAATCACGCTACACAGGTAGCCTAGCTCCTCCAGGATGGCACATCAATACATGCCGTCACAAGGAGGTTTGGTGTGTCTACCAGCATAGTCTAAAGAGCATGGAGGAGATACCGGGAGATGGGCCGTTACAGATCTGGACAGAGCACCCTGGACACCATCCACCATCTCATCAGGAGCAGGCCTAGACGTTGTTGTGAGTGCATACAGGCGCGTGGGAGCCATAAACCATACTGACTTACATTATGAGATGCTTTGATGAAATTCATGCAACTTTGATCAGCCTTTAATTTATTATTATTTATTTTTATTTTTTTTTACTTTCATTTTTAGTGTGGTTTTAAATTCAGCCCTCATTGGGTTGAAGATTTTGGTTACCACTGATCATTGTCACATTATTTTGTTCTTAATGATGTAAGTACTGTATAGGTTTTCAACTTGAATATTTCATTCATCGAGATCCAATGTGTGATTTAAGTGTTCCCTTCATTTTTTTGAGCACTGTATTATATTATTATATTCAGAAATTAACATTAACCATGATTAATAAATGCTGTTAATATCATTTGTTTAGTTCATAACACCTAACTAGGGTGCCCAAATTACTCATGGTGGAATATGGGACGGGGTGGGCAAGTATTTGACAATTCAGACACATGGAGAACTGATTGCGTGCTGTCTGAGGCTGCGCATACACTGTGCGATTTCAGCAATAGCAAAAAATTAAATACCAACTCTCACTGTATGAATAAATCACATGCGATTTCAAGCCAAAGCTCAGGATTTATGTCCTCACACTGTATGGACCGTTCGTCAAGCTGCAACTTGACTGCTCACACTATAGATGCAAAATAAACACACAAGACCCCCCCCCCATCCGGAACTGTGTAGCCTCCATCGTTTCCGTCCTTATTACACGCCACCCAGATAGCACACATACGTCTGCAAGATATCTGTTAAAGATCACTTCATCTGGAAAGCATCTGCTGTGTACAAACATCTGATAGACGTCTTTAAGATGTCAGTTTTACATTCATTCTAAATCATATACATCTTAAAGACATCTTCTAAACGTCTGTTAGACATCTGATAGGAAACATCCTATAGACGTATTGCAGATGAGTAAACACTCTAAAAAACACGTCTTGCAGATGTGGGATTGCGTTAAGTCTATATTTTTGGACAGTTATGTTGATCCAGGATCAACAAAAGATGTCGATCCAGGAACATGTCGTACTTGGCAAAATCACGGCGACCAAATGCCGACGTCAAATAGACATCTCCATGATGTACGTGTGCTGTCAGAGCATGTCGCCATGTTTTCATTTCTGTTTTCATGCAGGCGCAGTGACGGAAAAAGCACTGAGTTTAAGACAGTCGGTTCATAGTTCTGCATCAACTGTGGCTGCATCCGAAAACTTAGGCAGCTGACTTGTTGCCTCGCTGCCCTATCAGGCAATGACTTGCAGGCAGCGTTTGTGCACGAAGGCACCTCACGAAACTGATTTCGGACAGACAATATAGAGAGCTTTGGAGATAACTAAGTGAATATTTCATTACTGCAATATTAATTTCTCGCTAGAAATTACATCAAAAGTGTAAAACGTTGATCAAAAACGTACATTTACACACAAACTGACCACCGACCGCAACTTTCAGATGCCATCTTTATTTTTTAGCTTAACTGTCACTGAATCAAACGCACAGGATTGTGGGATATCAAAGGCAGCGAAGGATACATCTATGCTGCCTTCAAAAGTCGGCCAGATGAAGGCATTTTAGGAGACAGGAACTGAAGCTAACATTGAATTCGGACATGCCTTGATGCCTTCCTACCTTAGAATACGTCCTCCGAAGGCAGCATTTTTCAGTTTTCGTATGCAGCCTGTGTGATACCCTCACGAGGGGCGACCAAAATTTCTGACATGTCAGAAATTAATCCGACCATCCGATTGCTGCTCGGGAGAGGCTAATCGCCTCTCGTTACCCCCTGTAGCCTACACTATACGTCAAAAGACGCATGACAAAGCTGAAATTCGGCCCAACTCAAAAAAAGAGTTGCACGAGTCAGAATTCATCTCAAAATCGGACGAAAATCGCACAGTGTATAGCATACCCGGCCTAACTGCAAGTTAATCAATGAGTTGTGATTGGATGGTAATTCTGTTCTACGACGAGCTTGGCTACCTTTGATTAGGCTGTTTGAAAAAAAAAAACAGTTTGAAATACGGGACAAAATATGATTTTCAATACAATGAAGCAGAACGCATTTGGTCTTACTTGGCTTCAATGTCGACTGTCAGACTCTCATCACCCACATAGAAGAATGACTTACTGGGCTTTAATTTCACTTCAAATGTTGGAAGCACTAAAACCAAACCAGACACACAAATAAGTAAATACATTATTTGACTTGTTATCATATTCTTAGAGAACAAGAGTTTGTAGACACAGGTCTTACCATATTCTTTGACCTCAAAGTCTGCAGTGAACGTCTTCTGAGGAGTGTTTGAGAACAGTGTGACCACCTTCCAGATCCCAGGACTGAAACAAACAAAACACATCCAGAATCACTCACATGTCTGGGACTCTTGAGTTCATGACATTAAAACAGGTGATAACAGACCATGAACAGCTAGGGTTTTGCTGTCGTTTATTGATATATTATTAGATACTGTCCTGAAGCACACACAGCAGACAGATAAAATGAAGTTTTGCTGTTTCACTCAGATTTAGTAGCTTCAGTCCTGATAGTGTTTTACACACCTGGCCATCTCAGGAATGGCATATTTTCCAGACTTCATGCCTTTGACTGGAAATATCTTCTCTGATGAAACTGTGATGTCTTGTGGATTCTTAAGAAACACAGAAATAATCATGAACAGCTGAAATGTTATCAATGAGTGTGAGTGTGTGTGAAATAACGTCTCGGTTACGTATGGTAACCCTCGTTCCCTGAAGGATCAAAGGCAGCGAAGGATACATCTATGCTGCCTTCAAAAGTCGGCCAGATGAAGGCATTTTAGGAGACAGGAACTGAAGCTAACATTGAATTCGGACATGCCTTGATGCCTTCCTACCTTAGAATACGTCCTCCGAAGGCAGCATTTTTCAGTTTTCGTATGCAGCCTGTGTGATACCCTCACGAGGGGCGACCAAAATTTCTGACATGTCAGAAATTAATCCGACCATCCGATTGCTGCTCGGGAGAGGCTAATCGCCTCTCGTTACCCCCTGTAGCCTACACTATACGTCAAAAGACGCATGACAAAGCTGAAATTCGGCCCAACTCAAAAAAAGAGTTGCACGAGTCAGAATTCATCTCAAAATCGGACGAAAATCGCACAGTGTATAGCATACCCGGCCTAACTGCAAGTTAATCAATGAGTTGTGATTGGATGGTAATTCTGTTCTACGACGAGCTTGGCTACCTTTGATTAGGCTGTTTGAAAAAAAAAAACAGTTTGAAATACGGGACAAAATATGATTTTCAATACAATGAAGCAGAACGCATTTGGTCTTACTTGGCTTCAATGTCGACTGTCAGACTCTCATCACCCACATAGAAGAATGACTTACTGGGCTTTAATTTCACTTCAAATGTTGGAAGCACTAAAACCAAACCAGACACACAAATAAGTAAATACATTATTTGACTTGTTATCATATTCTTAGAGAACAAGAGTTTGTAGACACAGGTCTTACCATATTCTTTGACCTCAAAGTCTGCAGTGAACGTCTTCTGAGGAGTGTTTGAGAACAGTGTGACCACCTTCCAGATCCCAGGACTGAAACAAACAAAACACATCCAGAATCACTCACATGTCTGGGACTCTTGAGTTCATGACATTAAAACAGGTGATAACAGACCATGAACAGCTAGGGTTTTACTGTCGTTTATTGATATATTATTAGATACTGTCCTGAAGCGCACACACAGCAGACAGATAAAATGAAGTTTTGCTGTCGCACCCGAAATTGCTCTTTTAGGGAAAAAGCTCTTTTAGCGTGCTGAGGCGCACAGGGGAGATGATCATCTGCAACACAAACAGGGGGTAGTGCAGCCTGATGTGTGCAACCCACTCGACATGGGAAACCACCGCCGCTGAAGCGCCATACCGCCAACACGAACAGCTCTCCAAGAGCACGCTGAACTCGTTCAGTCTTCTTCTCTCAGTAGAGTAGTCAGGAGCAGAACGATGTGATCGCTCGGCTCCAAAGCGAAAAGCTGAATATGCGCTGCATCTGCTGCCTACTTATACTCACGCTGTGATCAGCGGCAGCTGGATGCAATAATCGCATGCCAATGTGCATTGGCTCGTTTAGTTTACACTCGAAGTAGATTGGTCACTCTAAGCGAGATCCCAATTCGTCGGTCACCCGACGTGACGTCGAGAGTGACCGACTGAAAGGGAACAGTGTGTACCATGATTTCCACTGTGATTCCAGATTGACTGAGTGGTTCCAGGTTGGGCGTCAGAGAGAAAATCCTGTATTGAACTGCAATAGACGTCAAAGCAGAAACTAAAATACTTTGTTTGAAAGTTTAATATACTATTATTATTTTTGTGTGTTAAATGTGTTAAAATGACACCATACATAGTTCACAACAATGTTTACTATGCATTATTATAGCCCTCGAAGCAACAAAAATTGAAAAACATAATTATTTTTTTTTTCCATCAGTGTATTTTTGGCTTGTCCTCGGCCCTATGTTTGCAACTTCTCCTTGCAAAATGGAAATAAAAGCATTATTTAAATAAAAAAGCTATGCTTTTCATAATATTTAATGAAAAAGTAGTTGTGTCCTCAGGTTTTGCATCAATCCTGTTAACATCATTAATCTCCCTTATTAAAATTAAGTACAATTCTTTTAATACATTTTAAAAATGTCATGACCTTGAGCACAAGGCTAGTAATAGCTATAACAGTCTAATGGCGTATCTGATATTCTAACATATAATACACTCCTTTTTTTTAACTTAGCTTCAGACGATTTGACACACAATGCAATGTATAGTCACTTAAAGACCTTTTTTTTGTCTGAACAAACTTCAGTTTAAAAATAAAATGAGAAACCCCACCTTTTTAAAAAGCAAATACAACCATTTTGTGGAATGACCCAGAGTCCACTGACACTCCAGATGTGATTTTAATTGCTTTATGTTGTCATGCTGATTAAACAAATATAAAGTTCTACACACTCTATATTTGTCATGTTTCCAGCACTTAATCGTACCTGTGCTAGCAGGTGTGTAGATGGGCTTGTCTGTTTGGACAAATATATATCCAGACTGGAATGAGAGCAGGACCACTTTCTCCAGAGTGACGGATGGAAACTGAGCTTGTAGATACACATACTGCTTCTCCAGAGGATCGTCAGAGAACAAGTTCTGATCATCAGGGATCTAAATGACAGAAAATGAATTAGTCCTCTGCCAATTTTGAAAAAATTAAAATGCATTTTACAAACTAAGTTGTCAAACTGTACATGACGTATCACACATACACCACCTACACAAGCAAAAAGTATGTCAAAGTGGCGTCACCTTTATATCTGTAAGGATTTGGAAATTTTTGTCTGAAGTCAGTTTCACTGATTTAGACAGTATCTCCTTGTCTTTTTTTGGGTGGTTCTTAACTATGATCTTCACATCGAGAGCTACTCCAGAGTAATCCTGAGCCTCCACAAACAGGTTCTCTGAGGAACCCACCCTCAGCAGATTAGGAGCCGACAGAACAAACCTGAGGAGATCAAATCAGAGCGTTTGAGAACAGATCTGTTAGTGAATCCATGAACAGTGTGCTTGATACTCACAGCGGGGCACATAGTGTGAGGAGCGGTGAGGAGAGCAGAACAACAGTCAGAAACAGCAGCTTCACCTCCATCCTGACTGTCTGTGTGTGTCTTCCTGTGAGCGTCTGTGAAGCTGCAGCAGCTCTGATTTATACCCGCCTCCACCACCCTCAGAGTCCAAACTGCACGCTCTCTCTCCTGCACCCCTCGTCCCATCATGATGATTAGGCAACACGTTTGGGAAGGGGAGGATCTTGAACATTTTTTGTGGAATTTCCAAAATTAGGACGAAAAGCTAATAATTGTACTTAAAATATTGCGTTTATTAGTACTGTGTGTGAGGAAAACCATAAATTATGATGAAGCTGTGCATCACAGTATCATGTACATGTGTCTCATACCGTTATTTACATTTACATTTAATCATTTAGCAGACGCTTTTATCCAAAGCGACTTACAAATGAGAAGAGCAAATAGAAGCAATTCAGGTCAATAGGAGGGCAACAGTATACTAGTGCTGTAACAAGTCTCAGTTAGTCAAGCACAACATACCAGTTTTTTGTTGTTATTTATTTAATTAAATTTTTTTTTTCCAGAAAAAGAGACAAATAGAATAAGAAAATGTTAGCATTAGTTAGTCAACTGCTGACAAAAAAAGATGTGTCTTTAGACATTTTTTTGAAGATGGCCAAAGACTCAGCTGCTCGAATTGCGATAGGCGGGTCGTTATGTATAATTTTGTCAACACGTTAACACATTAAAAACCCAAGAAATTACATATCCACACTATTATGGTTGCAGTTCACAAACGTACTGAACTACAGGCATAACTGTCTCTTTTGAAAGAAGATGTAGTAGTTTGTATTTCAAAAGTCCCAAATTAACATATTTATCGAACAAAATGTCAACTGTATGTCTGTAATGCACCTTACTCATGTAACTTTCCATAATAAAGTACTGTAAAAAAAAAAAAAAAGTATAATGTGTACAACAAGTACAACTCTTTTCTTTCAGCATATAGAAAGCTGCAGAAGCAGAACTTTTTTAAATGTTTCAAATGTGTAGTTTTGTGTATCAGACAGTAGACTTTTAAAGATTTGAAAGAGTTAATGCAATTCTGATTTCCCGTAAATGATTACGCTTGTTGTGTAAATTCAACCTTTGGTAAATTGGCAGCTGCTCTATTGATCTTTTAGGGTTCCAAAGAACTATTGAACAGTATATTTTCATGAAAATATGCCACAGATGTAAGCTGCAGTGGAATGAGATTTTTTTTTTTTTGAATTTTAACTTGACTAACAAAATCATCTTTAACCTAGAATTCATACACATGTTATTTTTACTACTTCGTGAAAATAAATGTTAGTGACAATTAAGAAAGTGTGTCTTTCTAATCTCAGGTTGCTCTAGTGAGAATTTCACTGTAAGCAGGGGAGAGGGGAGTGTTGTAACACATTGTGTTAAACATCTGTAACAAACGCCTGTAGCATTTATTTTCCGTGCTTTTATGCATCTTAAACTTTGATATAATATTTATATATTTTTATTTGATAAAAAAATGCAACATTTTAAAATTCCCACATTCCTCCTACAACATAATGTACAGTCAGCTGCTCATTATCACAAAATAAACACCTACAGTTATCAGGATTTGTATAACCCTTAAGAAATTTATTTTGCTATGATAATCATGATCTTGACATGAAATGTAATTTATTTTTAATTTTATGACATTGAATATAATTAAATTATCACTTAGATTAGTTTAATGGTTTCGCTAATGCAAAATAGTCCATTACAACTTACAGCAAAAAGAAGAAAACTGCAAAAACTTTAATTAATAGGTTATATTAAACTATTATTACCAATGTGCAATAATTGTCGGCCAGGGGTCTCCAAACACGGTCCTGGAGGGCCGGTGTCCTGCAGAGTTTAGCTCCAATTTTCCTCAACACACCTGCCTGTTAGTTTCTAGTAAGACCTTGATTAGCTTTTCAGGTGTGTTTACTTGGGGTTGGAGCTGAACTCTACAGGACACTGGCCCTCCAGGAGCAGGTTTGGACACCCCTGATGTAGGCCTACATGTCTTCCTCAATTTTAAGTCAAGTCAAGTCAAGTCAAGTTTATTTGTACATGGTCTTGTTGAGATATATAGTTGAGTATCATCGGCATAACAGTGGAAACTAATCCCGTATTTTCTAATAATATTACCAAGGGGCAACATGTATATCGAAAATAGCAGAGGACCTAGGACAGATCCTTGTGGCACTCCATAATTTTAGGCTCTGCCTCATCTTTGTGTCTACCAGTTCGCTGTTGTCTGAACAACGTTTTTGTTTTAAGTTTTAATTGGACAGTCCTGTGCTTCTTACAATCTATTAAAGGTTTTGTTTACCATATACTGAAATATCCCGCCTTGTTTTCATGAAAATTTGTGACTGATTTTAGACACAAGAAGATGGCACTACCGACTTAAATAAATAAAGAGCGAGATAGTGGAGGGATACTAAAGACATGAAATGTGCACAGGTAGGAGATCAGCCAAAATGCATAGGAAACGTATCTAGCATACCCAGATAACACAGGTACGTCTACAATATGTCTGTTAAAGATCGCTTTGTCTGGAAAGCATCTGCTGTGTACAAACATCTGATAGATGTCTTTAAGATGTCAGTTTTACATACATTTTAAATCATAAACATCTTAAAGACATCTTCTAAACGTCTATTTGACATCTGATAGGAAACATCCTATAGATAGATGAGCAAACACTCTAAAAATGCATCTTGCAGATGTAAATGCAGACATCAAATAGATGTAGCCTATGTGTGCTATCAGGGTAACGTTTCTGTAATTCTCGTCTCAAAATAGTTCTTCTCCACTAATCTTCAACAGGTCTCCCATTTTATATTAATTTTGGAATCAACTATATTTTGAATAAAATGTCCTTTTTTTATTCTTCTTAACTCCAACAAAAAGAAACCCACATGGCACAACTGGGCGCTGTCGTTAACATGTGCGTGCCCAATCAAACCTTACCCCGAGGGACAGAAACGCCACCCCATAGCCTTAATATCAACTTCACAAATGTATCTGTTACATACGTCCCATCCCCCTAAAATAAACATCCTCATTTATCTAACAAACAGTAAAGGATAGAACAGGTAACAAAACAATAATAACTCCCAGTCAAAAGTAGACCAACGTCTCTGTGTGACATTCAATTCGCGGCTGGCATATGCCACTATGTGCTCTAGTCCATATTTTTCCTGTGCAAGTACAGCACCCACAGCCCACTTGGAGACATCCATATAAACTTTGAAAGGCACTTTGAAGTCAGGCAGTGTCACAATGGGAGCTGAAGACAGCACTTCCTTCAAATAGTTAAATGTGTTGTCACAATCGGTATTCCATACAAAATACACATTTTTGCCCACCAGCTGATTCAGCGGGGCTGCATGTCCTTTACAAAGCGTCGATAGTATGAACACAGTCCCCAATCGGCATGCAGTGCCACTGATATAGACCCCGACCTGTAGCAAAAGCTGTTTTTTCTGTCTTGCTCGGCCACCTCTACCTGCCTGTATCTATTAGAAAAAGCCAACGTGCTGAACCATCTGGAGCCCGCTAATGCATCCAGTGTGTCGTCCACGCGTGGCAGAGGATGAGAGTCCTGGATAGTCACACTGTTCAAGCGTCTATAATCAACGCAGAAGCGCCAAGCAGCACATTTCTTTTTTACAAGCACGAATGGAGACGCCCAGGGGCTACAGCTTTCTTCGATGACACCCTCAACTAGTAGGCCCACCACCTGTCTCTCTATCTCAGCTCTCTTTTCAGGCGATGTGCGGTATGCACGCTGCTTAATAGGGCCATGTTCCCCAGTCCTGATATGATACTGCACCAAAGTGCATTTTCCTGTATTTGTTCCTGAGAAGTTAAAGATGTCACTGTACTCCTGCAACAGTGTCGAGAGTTTTGCCCTATCAGATGATGAAATTGGCAATTCACTTAAAGATATTGAAGGAGCTGTGTCATGTGGGCTAGGAAAAACACCTTCCCCTGCGTCCTGCTGAAAGGGATGAATATCAGAATCAACTACAGAATAAAACTCACCCAGGTGAGTCTCCTGTTTTATAGGAATGTCTTGTCCATTAAGGTTCAAAATTTGTGCTTTAGATAGTCCATTGTGTACATTATTGAGTGTGCCACAACTAGAACGGCAGACTCCGACACATTAGGTTCCAAATATCCCATAAAGTCATTAGACACCTGGGTCGCACAAGGCAAACCAATCTTAACTCGCACAATTGACTCACTGAGGTGTGGAAGTGTCATGTCTGTGGCCAGAGACACAATGCAGCATGTTGGAACAAAATCCGCACTGGTAAGAAGTGGAATGTAAATGTCCCATAACTGTAACTTAGCATGACTATTTCAGCAGGCCATGTTTTTTTACTAAAAAGTCCCATCCCAGCAACACCGACGGTGTTGTTTCCCTCACTATGTGAAAAACATGTTGCCGGATATCAAGACCCAACTGTAGTGTCACAGTAAGTGTGCCCAGCATGTTCAACATCTGTCCTTTTACAGCACAAGCCGGTCGCACAAGGCAAACCAATCTTAACTCGCACAATTGACTCACTGAGGTGTGGAAGTGTCATGTCTGTGGCCAGAGACACAATGCAGCATGTTGGAACAAAATCCGCACTGGTAAGAAGTGGAATGTAAATGTCCCATAACTGTAACTTAGCATGACTATTTCAGCAGGCCATGTTTTTTTACTAAAAAGTCCCATCCCAGCAACACCGACGGTGTTGTTTCCCTCACTATGTGAAAAACATGTTGCCGGATATCAAGACCCAACTGTAGTGTCACAGTAAGTGTGCCCAGCATGTTCAACATCTGTCTTTTTACAGCAAAAGCCGCAATATAGTCTTTCTTTAGAGGTCGACTGCGAAGTGCAGGGATTGACATACGAAAATCAGAACTCATCAGTGATACACTAGAACCAGAGTCAATTAGGATAGGAAGCTCGATGCCCTCAATTGTGCCTTTCACATATGATACCAGAGGCCCCTGGTCAGTGTTTGTGTCCAATAAGGTTGTGTCATCAGGTTTTGGGCCCCTGTGTAATACAGCTGGTGTTTGGGCGGCAACATCAGCTACAGCCCGTTTCCCAGCTCGTAATTCCTCTCCTCACCACCAGGGGTCATGACGCGCACTCCCTGTCTCCTAGTTTCCTCCTCATAACTGCCTCGTCTCCTCATGCTGGGGCTGGGGGAGGGGCTGTTAGCGCGCCTCATAGGACAAGAGTCGAGTTGTGGTCCTTACGGCTATTAAACTCCATAAACGGTTTTATTTCAGAAGAGCGGCCTCCCTGCGTCTCATATGCCTGCATACGGCAAGCAAGCCCCTGACAGCAGCACTGTCCTGACTCACGTGACGGGGAGCGCACTCTACTCCAGTCATCTCTGCCGCTCCGTCATTCAGTCATTCTCGTCCTCCAAACGGTTAAGGGCGACTTTCATGTCGCTCACCTCATTAGTTAACCTATCAATTGCTTTGTACAGTCCACCAATGTCCGACACGGAGTTCACACTGGCCCCAGCCCTGTCGGCAGTCAAATTATGCCCGACATTAGCAGCAACTATCCCACATCTATCGCATTTCTCGTGTTCTCGCACCGCCCTGCGATTTTTACGGCTTCCTCCATGTCTGTCGCTCCCTGCTCATAACATTTAGTCCTCAGCACTGGGTCCAGACCCGCCATGAAATGGCAAAACTCTGTCGCCGTACTCTGGGAAAGCCTCATCCACTAGCCGGCTTATTTCTGCTGCATACACCTAAACTCTCCCGTGCTGCACAAGGGCAGGCAGATAAGCTGGCCCTGAATCGCTCTATGACCTGTCTCCTTCCAAAAGCTTCTTTTAGCTTCTCTTTTACCTTTTCATAGTCCAATTTAACGGGATCAGGGAGATTGCTCCATAGAGAGAAAGCTGCGTTGTCTAAACGTGTCCGTAAAATACTTGTCAGTTCATTGTTGTATGAAGCGGTGCCTTCAGTGAGCGCTTTGACAGCAACTTCAAACCGTCTCGCCCAGCACACAAAACTTTGTCTCTCCTCGCCAGAGAACGGAGGTGGCAATTCAATTCGCACGCTCTTATGGCCTCTGTCACGGTCCTGCAAAACACTAAAACTGTCTTCCTCCTTGAACCACATAATGACAATGCATAGACCGTGCGTGCTAACTAACTATAAACTTTTGAATCTATGCTAACTAATTTAACACCCATCGGAACACTTTACAACACTAAATAAACTCACCCAAAACAAAACCGCTGCCACCAATGTGACCTAACTTACACATCGGGTTCGCCTAAACACTTTGCAAATAATAAAATAAAGAAAGCGAAACTCAGACGTTATATAAACGATGTCCTTTTTATTCTTCTTAACTCCAACAAAAAGAAACCCACATTGCACAACTGGGCGCTGTCGTTAAAAGTCACCATGAAATCAAAATTGAAAATTCTTATTTTTTTAATGGAATACTGTAGTGTTTATTATAAATAATTTATCCGTGCACTTCATTATTTTTTAAAATGTATGTGCCCTCATAATCTTTAATCAAAAACGTTAACCTAATCAAAAACGTTAACCTCCCCTCCCCCTCAAAACGACTCATCTTCTCTTCCGGTCACGAGCTATGGCACAAGGGCGGAGCTAGTGACGTGGGGGTAAACGCTGGGATAAACAACAGGGGGAAAAGCTGAAGCTGATGCTTCACTTTATAGCACTGACACCAGTCATGAGGGAGTACGTTACCCCTAAACATTGAAAACATATTAGGATATTACGACAACATTACTCTTAAGACATCGCAAACTAATTTTTTTTCATGAATATGACTTAACCTGATGGAGGACACGCTCAGTCATTCAGGCAGTATCTCTCTCTCTCTCTAGGCATGTTTTGTGCCGTTGATCGTCGTTGTCATCCTTAATAAATAAAACATTTATTCATGCTTGGGTGTCGGCTGTGAATCCAGTGGAGAGAAATCCCCCACCACTACCTGCAAACTGGCATTCAGATCTGCCTCCATTTTGTTAGCAACACCCCAACTTCCAACCCCAATCAATTCCCGAGGGACGAAATCAAGTCCCGCCCTCTCATTTCAGATGCCGTTTCACTCGGATATACATCACAGTAGAGAAGAAAAGACAATCGCAACTTCAGTTTCATGTGTGAAATTTTACTTCACACATGACTTTAACATGTGCATGCCTATCAAACAAGCAATTTAAACATAATTAAAATGTCCTATACGTTAGCCTTTTTTTAATTTAAATTAAAGTTGGCTTATTTAATATACAAATTTTTTAATTATTATTATTATTATTATTATTATTACTACTACTACCTATCTAATAGTGGAACTCATACTTGAAACTCAAAAAACTCAACAAAGGGGGGCGTTGATGTTCTTGAGCGCGTTTCACTCGAGTTTCATGAGTGGAACAGGTAGAGCGAGCTGACGCGCTTCCGGCCGCAGGTTGGAGAGATGCCGTCATGAACGCGCGGGTTTAACGAGGCTTCACGCTCTGCGCTTGGACGCGGAGGTCTTGATCGTTAGGGATTCAGAATAACAACAACAACAGCGGTTCCTCCGCAGATATCATAGCAGTTTCTCAGGTGAGCTACGTTTCTCTTTCAGTCGGATATTTGTTCGTCTCTGGGTGTTTTGAAAACAGCTCGTTAAACCGGTTCCGCCACCGGCATTCCGTGACTGGCTGACTGACTCACCTCAGATAAAGCTCACCTCACTCCCACCCAACCGCTGCATGCTTAAAACAGTCTCTCCAGAAAACTGTAATTATTAAGCTCGGAAGTCAAATAATTTGTGAAGAATAGATCATTAGTAACGAAAGTCCCTTATAAAAGCAGGTATCAGGTACTTTAATATAGGGCAGTGTATTGAAAACCAAGGGATGTAATATGACTGTGAGGTAAGTTTATGTCTGAACTTAACCTTTGTTTCTCATAATCTTAAATAGTTAATTGTGAAATGTTAGATATTAGTTTTGTAGATTAATATAAAGTGTGCCTGTGTATGAATTCGACAGGATTTACTTTTTAAAGTTGATTAAGTTTCGAAAACACCATTTGTGGTCATTATACAATACTTGAATTGTTGTTATTTAATAGTTTTGTTGAATTGTTGACTTTGTTTTCTCTCATAAAATGTGAAGGGGAAAAAATCAATATAGCTTATAGTTTAACACCTACACTTTGACTGATAGTGTATTAAAACAAATATATAAATGGTATTACCATTTTGATAGCGACCAAATGTTTGATGGTGTATTTTATTCTGCATGTTTTAAACGTGTGTTTACCCAAAATGTAAATAAAGAGTTCAGATGCAAAAGCCTCTAAGTGAAATTTTCTTCTAAAATGAGCATTTTCATCAGGCTCCTATGCGTATGTTCAGTAATTTTACTTTAATGGCAATATATAGGTCCTTTTCTATGCCATTAAAGTGAAATAATTAAACATAAATATAGGAGCCTGATGAAAATTTAACTCTTCAAATTCTGTCTGTGACTTATTTTGAAGAATTGTACTTGTTAAAATGAATGGGCACTGAAGGTTTCAAGCTTCAAAAGGACACAAAAACATTAGTCCGTAACATCATGAGCTGTATTCCAGGTCTTCCAAAGTCATAATAGTTCAGTTTGAGGAAAAGACACCAGTATAATTCATTTACTGAAACTCATTCAGCTTTGGAACGACTCGAGGGTGAGTTCAGTTCAAAGTGTTTTTGTGGATGTCTTTGTAGTTGTAGGTCAGTGTTGTTCTCCCAGACTAATAATTAACTCTATCAGTCCACAGCCGAACAGTAGACTCATTTGAAATGATCCTCTCATCTCTGAATGTGTTTGTGTACTGTAGGAATTCACGTCTTGCTTTTATCTTCCTCATCCACTTGGTTAAAGTTCCCTTCCAAAATGTAAAAGGATGACTGTGGATGAAAAGGATCACTGTGTAGTCACTACTAACCAGGTACTTTGCCTCTCTTGAATGGACACACCCTTAGAACACTGTTAGACAGATAAACACAGTCTGTGTTTGTTTTCACAAGTGTGTGTGTGGAGCATCATGAGTTCGGTGAATGCATTGGGCCTGTGCATGCCGGTGTTGTTCCTTCTGGCTCTGGCCCTGGTTCTGTTCTCGTGTGTCCTCCGTAAGAGGCGGCAGATGGAGGGATCGTACCAGCCCAGCTCGGAAGAGCGGAAACAAGCCAAGAACCATGGAGCCGAGAGACCCGGTCTCACTCTTCCACTGCCCAAAGAGGAGAGACTGATCTGAATGCAGCCCTCAGAAAAGATGATGAAACCACACCAGTTTAGGGTGATCAGGTAAACTTAAACAGAACTTTCATGCTAACTTCATATTGATATTTATGTGGAGTCCACGCACGGGTGCAGTCCTGACAAACAAGTGGAGGTTCATGGATGGAGAACGTTTGAAGTGGTGGTGGGTATTTATTTGACGCTTTTGACTGAGATGTGAGAATGCTTTCATATCATAATGCACTATTAAAGTCGATAAATCAATTCAAGTATGCCTAACGATGTTTTGCTGTCACTCTTGGGACAGCTGAAGCCACTGCCAAGTGCATTTGTCATAAGAAAATAAACCAGATGATTTAGATAGACGGCCAAACCAGTTTGACTTTGTTTACTTCATCTGTATATTAAGTTTACTCACCCGAGAGTCTTTAAGGAGACATGGCAGCTTTACCTCCAAAACAGTTTACCATTATAATATTGAATATTTTAAATGTCCAAAAGCGAACATTGTTGCAGTTTTTTCAAAGGAAGAGAGATAAATCTATATTGTGCTTTGCCAAATGTTGTTTTGTATTAGGTTTGCATTTCTGTAATGTCTGTAACACATCAATATTAGGAATGATCATAATGTGATGAAGTGACTGTGTAACTGTGGATGATTAATTAAAATGCATCTGTGAGTAAACAGCCTTGTCCTTGGTGTTGTGACCTGTTCAAAGTGTGTCATTTAAGAGTTTTTGGTTTTGACTGTGGCAATGTTTGCTCAGAGTTAGCAGCCGGTGCTTTACACTCTCTGATAAGCTTTTTATAAATGATTAAAGATATTTGGATAAAAAGGATAGACTTTCTTTATTGGTCAGAATTGGTGCTTTAATCAGTTCATTTTGATAACATGCTGTATTTAGTTACAGTGAAAGTTAAAAATGACTTGATTTACTTTAATGCACGTTCAGGGTACATTATTCCAAAAAAAAAAAAAAAATCCAAATTGTAATAACTTGCACTGCCTTTGAATCGACTTTATTGACTGATGTCAGTGTTGAGTTTTAACCAACATATACATGAGAAAAATATCCTTCCACAAACACAAAGTTCAGTTTGGAACGCCAACCTTCCACAATCCAATAAAAACCCAATGGATAATTTTATCTCCTTTGACTCAGCAATGTTGCTTCACAAGAATCAAAATGGGGTGCAAGGGTTGTTTCATGTAGACTTGTAAATGACAATCTAAAAAGTTTCATTTTCAGTTCTTGAGTATCGTTTTGCTTCAATATGTTTGATTTATGATGGTCTAATGTTCAAATCTCTTCTTCAGTTCTGAGACCTTAATGGGGGCCTGGGTTTGTTCTTCTGAAGTTGATGAAATGGGCGATTTCGTACATTGTTCTTCAGTCTGCAGGCCCGTCACATTGATTTTGTGGGTGCTGATGGGAGATTTTAGAGATTTATCCCAGCCTCGGGAACCAGAAGAGTCAGTCAAGGACTTGGACTGGAACAGAGCTATGCTAGACAAGACGTTCGGTGATGGAGGTTCAATGCTCATCTTATCTGGCTCTTCTCTTGTGTCTATCTTTACATTGAGAGAAACAGCAGAGGTGATTCCTCCATTTGTAGGTCCCTTTGAGCCCAAGTCATTTGTCGTCTTATGCTCTTTCTGACATTCTTCTTCTTTGTCAGGTTGCATCTCTGTACACTCTTCAAGTACTGTCTCGGTTTCCAAGCTTTCCTCCATTGTTCCGTTCATTTGTCCATCATTTTTCGACCAGCTGTCCTCTTGCACCTCTTGAGAACCCACTTCGGGATCCAGCGAAGCATCTTCTAGAACTTGTAGATCTGAACACAGATTTACCCCTAGCTTGGTCAAGTCTTTCTCTAATTCGTTAAGCTCATTTTCTGGCCTGTCAGTCAGGACAGCAGGCTCCTCCCCCTCACCACCAGGCCCCTCCTCTAGCTCCTCCTCCCAGCTCATGAGACTGCCGCTGTTTCCAAAAGAGGGGCTTAGACTCTCCTGACTTGGGTTGGTCAGACTCCTCTGAAAAAGAAATGAAATGGTGAGCGTGTGTGAACTTTTCCCACCAACAGGTTCCTGGTGCTGGACTATTTCTGCAACATGTCAAGTTTTTAAAAGTCAACAGCAGTCAGGTAAGGCTGACACAACACTAAATCACTTAATTAGTGAAGCCTTTCTTGTTCATGTTGTTTTCATGCAGCAAAGCCACTTTATTTTCTCAGTTCACCATATGAATACCATACAGGGCTAAATCTTCTGACTGTGATGCCAGTGTTAAAGACTTAACATGTGCTCTCAAGACTGAATGCAGCTGTTTGTTGCAGGTTATGTCAGATGCCCCATCCTGCACTGTTTAGATGTAATGTGTGGGAGGATCTAGGCCTTACATGCGAGATGAATTCACTGCTGTCGGAGCTGAAGAGGTCGAGGCTACGTGTGCTGTACAGTAAACCCGGCTCTCTGGAGCTCTGGGCACTCAGCGTGTCGAAGATCTCTCCAAGCAGGTCCATCTCCTCCGGGTCGGCCAATAGAGAAAGATCATCGTCTTCCTGTAAGTCGCTGGTGGCAGAGCACCGCTCAGGACCTTCTGTTACACTGGAAAGGGAAATGCATTGTAAAACATACATAAAACGGCAAAGCGTCCGTGCATCTGTGTCCTCTCATCTCACCTGTCTTCATAGCTGGTGTTGTCGGCCTCTGTCTGTTGCTCATTGTCCTGGTGGCTGGGACTCTTGTGTGTTGGCCGCTGTGGTCGAGACTGAGAAACAAAGCAGCATAGAAAGTGTAGAAAAACAAACAAACCATATTTAAAAAGTTAAGTGCATGTGCTGTACTGTAGTTGAACACAAGAAGAGCCAGGAATTATACACATTAGTCTAGTATTCGATACATTAGTATGATTAATAAAGAAGAGAAATTAATCATTTTATTCAACAAGGATGCATTAATCTGATCAAAAGTGACCGTAAAGACGCTTACAATGTTACAAACGATTTCTATTTCAAATAATTGCTGTTCTTTTGAACTTTTTAGTCATCAAAGAAAATTAAAATGTATCACAGTTTCCACAAAAATATCCGGCAGCACAACTGTTTTCAACATTGATAATAAGCAGAAATGTGTCGAGTAGTAAATTTAGTAGCATATTAGAATGATTTCTGAAGGATCATGTGACACTGAAGACTGGAGTAATGATGCTGAAAATTCAGCTTTGTATCAGGAATAAATGACATTTTACAGTATATTCACAGAAAACAGTTATTTTAATATTCCACAATATTGCTGATTTTACTGTATTTTGGATCAAATAAATGCAGCCTTGTTGAGCAGAAGATACCCCCAAACTTTTGACTGATAAAGTACAGTATATTTAGCTTTATAACATCATCTTTGTGTAGTTTAGTTTGGATGCCTTCAGGTGTCACTCACCCTGCCAAAGTGCTGTGTGATTGGTAGACGGTTCTGAAGGCAATCCGATTGGATGAGGCGATAAGTGTGCGTTCCACACACAGACCCGCCCCTCTGTAGCATATGAGGTTCCGTTTGGTCCTGAAAGGGGGAACATCCAAAAATTTAATTTAAACACACAAACCACATATTTTGTACACAAAGAGGAACCATATGCAGTTTAAGGAATATAAGCTCACCTTTGATGACAGGAGGTTTTTCAGCCCAAATTTGCTATGATATTTGGTCTGAAAAATGGAAACCATATGGAGAATATGTAATATTTAACAATGCACATTTTAAAATAACATGATAAACATAAACTACCCTTCAAATGTTTTTTAAAGAAATTAGTACTTTTATTTAGCAAGGATGCATTAAATTGACCAAAATTGACAGTAATTTACATTTATAATGTCACAAAAGATTTATACTTAAATTAAATGTTGTTCTTTTTAACTTTATCAAAGAATCCTGAAAAATAAAATGTATCATGGTTTCCACAAAAATATTCGGCAGCACAACTATTTTCAACATGAGCAGCAAATCAGCCAATTAAAAGGATTTCTGAAGGATTTCTGTAATGATGCTGAAAATTCAGCTTTGATCACAGCAATGAAATGCATTTTAACATATAATCACATAGAAAATGGTTCATGTTATTTTACTGTATTTTTGATCAAAGAAATGCAGCCTTGGTGAGCAAAAGAGACTTATTTCAAAAGCATCTTTTCATCAAAAACAACTTTTGAACAGCAGTGTAGAAATACTCACTGCTTTGTTAGCTGTAGACTTCCATGTCACGATCAGGGCTCCACCCCCTTTCTGTGGGAAGAGAAAGGCTTTTTTTTAAATCCAATTTTGTATAAAAGCAACTTTTGGCAGTCTAATCTAATTCTAGTTTATTTGTCAGAGCAGAAATGGAAGGTAAAGTGTGCTCTGCTGTAAACTGAACATTACTGAACTAGATCATATTTGTAATCTGTGTATACTGAAAATAGTGTGCACTGTATGCATACTGCAGATGTGGTAAGAGTAGTATGGTTGTCTGCCAGAGTTGCGTCTTGTTTATAGTTCCTGCACGTGTAAAATGTACCTTTAAGTTTCCCACCCATTGCCGACGCAATTTAGAGCGACCTGAGAGGAATCACGAGCAGAAGGGATGTTAAAATGAGCAAACGAACAAACAAGTATGTTTCCGTGATGAACGTAAACACGCACCAGATGAAGATCCACAATGAAGCACCTCCTCCTCAAACACATCATCCGGCTCTTTGCCCTGGTTCAGCATTTTCAGCCGGCCATCAATAAACTGAGAACAAAATGAGATTATAATGGAAGATACTATGGATCACGTCACAGTTACACATTTAAGTCCGTTTAAATTTATTTTTCTCTTATAATTTTGCCCTCCATTGTAAAACTCAAATGCCTTTTGCTCTTCTGCATATTCAAGACTGGGACAACACCAAACACCACTGGTTTAATGCGTACTTTGTAACCAGTCATGTGAAACTGGAATATGTGGATGCTCAAGTTGCCAATGCTTTCTTCACACAAGCGATTGTAAGACTTCAGAAGACTTGAAGTACATTTGGGTGCGTTTTAAAGCTTTTATGGTGCTAGATTTGCAGCCCAACATTCTCGTTCAGAGCAAAAGAGCAGCATTGAACATTCTTCAAAACATCTCCACGGAAAAAAAGCTCCACAGGAAATTGGAATTCATATGGGTTTGGAACGACATGAGGGTGAGTAAATGATTTTTGGTTGTACTCTTCCAAAAGATATGTGGAATTAACTAATATATTTCACCATACTTCTCCAGTTAATCAATCACAGTACATTTAGACAATTGTTTTGTATTACAAGTTTTCTGGAATGTTTAAACTAGTGCTGTCAAACGATTAATCGCGATTAATTACAACAAAAATCAAAGTTTTTGTTGACATAATATATGTGTGTGTACTGTGTATATTTATTATGTATATATAAATATGCACACATGCATATAT